CTTGAGTGGAGGCCCAATGTCCTTCTGCTACCTTAATACTAAACCTATAAATGTAGGCTCATAGATCTATTTCCCCATCCTCATATAATATATATATCTTTTATTAGGCTGCTGATGCAAGAACATGATGCAAAATTCCTAAGGACCTGAGAGCCGTAGCCCTGTTACACGTGATTCAAGGGAAGAAGCCCTCCCGCTTCACAGAACCTGTCTCAGGCTTGGCCTTAGCCTTTGCCCAGAGATTTCATGCGGCAGCAAGAAAGGGCAGGGAGCACCCTGGGAAGGACTGTTCCACTTTTAAAGTTCAAAGTGTATTTTGGTTTCTGTACTTTCAGTGGAGCAAGTGCGTGCAATCCACCAAACACTCACAGCCCGGGTTTCTCCCAGGCCTGCTCGGCCTCCCGCCACCCGACCCACCAGAGCACCCACCAGAGCACTGAGGGGCGGGCGGGCAGCCCGGGCACCTTCTCCCTTTACGGAAGCACTCGGTCTTGCTCCCCGACCCTGGCCAGTTCTGGGTGGCACGAGGGTGAGCCGAGCCTGCAGAAGGAAAGCGAGCAGAAAGGAGGAAGGAAGAGAGCAGAGGTCCTGAGGACACGGGGCTGACGTCTGTGACTGACGAAAGCAGCGATGGCCTTTGTCACGTGGTTTGCCGATGTCTTTGGAGTCTGTTCCAGAAGAATGGCGTCAAAAACACGCCAAGGAGGGCGCGTGTCGCCACCACGGTGCGTGGCTTCCCAAAGGCACTGTTTTAAAAGCCCATCACTCGAGGAGCGGTGATAGATGTTTTAAAAAGCATAGCTTTAGAGGCTCGTTTTGAAATGAAGAAGTCTGTCAAACGGACCGTTGAAACAAGGGCTATAACCCAAGACACAGATGAAAATCCGCAGGAGGTGTGACGGGACGAAAACGGATTTTACAGATTCAGGATCAAGCTCAGCACATAGATGCCTGAGGCTGGCCCCGCCACGGGCTTTGGAGCTGTCAGGGCCTTGGACACATGGTGAGAATCAGAAGCTACTGACGCACACGTGTAGCACATGTAATTTCACAGTAAGCATGCCTCGACTAAAGGAAAGACCCAGCTCAATTCTGGAGATTGGCAGCACAGTATAAGAGACAGAGACCAGTGTCAACAGACCTGACACTTCAGCGCCCCTCGTTCCTGACCTGCGACATGCCCAGTGGCATGATTGGCAAAGAGAAGGTCTTCAGTCAAGTAGTTTCTCAGTAGGGTGTTTCGTTTTCAATCTAAGGATTGCAACCCACAGTTAGATTATCAGATCAATTTAGCAGAGTATAACCAGCATATTAAAAAATCTAAAACACAATAAGAAGCATCCTATTGGGCTGCAAATGACAAGGGTGGAATTGTGTTCCAAAGATACTATGCATAGGCTGAGTTTGGATGGCAGACATTTCTGACTGGTTTCCAGACAAAATGTTTCAAAGTCTCTGCCTAATAGTCTCAGCAAACAAGTCCTCCTCGGAAGTGTAGCCTTGTGCCCAAGGAGCCCCCACGAATCACAAGACACCCCTCAATGTCCTTCACATAAACGTCAGAGCAGATAAGGCTGGTACGATGGACATGCCTTTCGATGATAAGATTTGTTTCTGAGTTGTATTGAGACTTTTGTGCTTCTAAACACTCTATAGGTTATCATTGGCAGCTGATTAAGTATGTCTAATGATTTATACAAGAATTGGCTGTTGGTTTCATTATGGAGAAAGAAGATATACTTCCTAAATACTTTAAAATTACATTTTTTTCCCCTTTAAGTTCTGAAAGCTGCCTATACTTCCTAAATACTTTAAAATTACTTATTTTTCCCCTTTAAGTTCTGAAAGCTGCCTAAGTGTGATGACTGCTGGAGTAATACTGCTGGAGTAATACTGCAAGGCCGAAAATACTGCAAGTGGTGAAAATCCAAAGTCGATACCGTGCTTGCAGTGATGCCCACACGGGCTCAGTAAGAAAGTGTGCTGTGGCATTCCACGGCGGCCCTTCCTTCTCCCTCCTTCCTGTCCTGACACACATCCGCCTGGAGTCCTTAATGTCACCAAAATGGTGGGCTCAGAGCACAGCCCGTGAGGGGTTAGTGTGATTAGTGGCGATGGGAGACTGGGCCACGTTGAGCAGTGGAGTTCTGGAAATGACAGAATTAAAGGACACCGCTGAGTAACGATGTGGATGTCTAATGATCGTTAAGGAGCCTGGACTGGCTACAGCAGCATCTCCCACAGGACTGAAGGTGGGGAATCCCGTTTAAACCAGCACCTGGCGGTGATGCTGATGGTCTTTCTGGTTTTTGAATGTCGTGTGCAAGGGACAGCAACGACTGGGAAATGTTTTAAAAGGAGGAGCCATGATTCCCACAGTCCAGGCATTTAAAACAATACAGGACCAGGAGCTGACAGTCATTCAAATAACTTTCTTCTTGGGAGGAAACTATACGAGTCACCAAACAGCAATGCTCGGTCCTCTCCAATTATTTAATGACAACAACCACTGAGGCTTTGTCTCACGGGAATTCACCGATGAGCTCTTGAAAGTATCAGAGAAAGGTCTCCAGATCTGATGCAAAAGCAATAGGCAAGCAATCAATACGTTATTAAAAATAAGCTCAGCAAGGGAGAAGTGAACTGGTCGACCCTTCAGCCCCCTGTTGAATCGGTTTGGCTCCTGGGTAGAAACAGCTCACACCTCTTGAGTTCCCAATGCTCCTTTATCTGTCCTCAGCCAGTGGAAAAGAGTCAGGCCACAGGTTGGGACTGAGTTGGGAATGGAGAGTGGGGCCGCCTGCAATCTTAAATTCTATTTTCCTTTTAGCTTTAAAACCTTTCAGCTGCTGAAGACGGGCACTGGGTTGGGCTGGGCTGGGTCATACTTGTGTCAATGTCAAGTGTGTGGATTCACACCATCAATCCTTCCCCACGGGCTGAGTCCACCCTCATTTCAACATCAGGATGTGGAGCAAGAATCCATGCTGGGGAAGGGAGAGTGAGGGGCAGTGGTGGAAGACAGCAACCAGCGCCTGGGGAATGCGCGGGAGACGGACAGGAAGCTAGTTCTTAGCTCCCCCAAAGGCCGGCTGAAAAGAAGATAAAGGTCAAGACCGCAGACCCCTGGAATCAGAAGGTGCCCTGGGATATGACCTTCCGCTTCCCTCCTGCTCACCTTTTAGCCCCAAACCTAACAAGGTTGGAAATATTTGGGGATGATCACCTGTAACCCAGAGGTTATTGGAGGCCAAGATGGCAGCCAGTGAAGGACAGATTGTGCTCACGACACAGGTAGAATTCACCCCAACCAAGGAACTTACCACAATTACAAGGGTGGGAGGCCAAAGGAGGTAGGCTGACAGAAGAAGCCGACCTACTGGCTTAATGAATCTCTTCCACTAGATGTGCTGTGATTTTTATTTAAAGAGAGGCAGAAAGAAGGGTTTAGTGTTGCAGATATTTGGAGAAGTTGAGCCTCTCTCTGCATTTTCTTGCATTCTTCACATCCTTACCCAGACATTTGAGGGGTGCACCCAATGCAATAGGCTTGACCACTGGCTCCCATGTTCAAGTTCGCCTGTCCCCCTACCCTAGCTACATATGGACTACTCTATCTGCTAAGAAAGGTTCTTCAACTCCTGGTCTCCTTGCAAAGAGGTCGAAATCATCTCCTACAGATGTGTTTGGCCTTCAGGTGTCCAGTGATCTGGAAGAAACAATCAGGAGGAACCGCTTCTTCCATAACGCTGACTTTCCACCCACTCCAAGTCCTCATCAGAACGGTGGGCTCAGTTTAGATGTGTACCCGCAGAAAATACGCTTTGGCAATCTTGAAAAGTCACCTGACAGACAAGAGGGTGCCTCAGCCTCTCCATCTCCATGAACACCCGGTCAACGGCAAAGTCCACCCCTGGATCACAGATCAATCACTGACAGCCACTGTCCTGGTACACACCGCGTGGTTCCCAAGCAGCCCGAGTGTCTGTCAGAGCGCAGAGGCTGCCATCACCGTGAGGATGTGGGCGCCCAGCACACCGGAGTTGGGATTCTAACTGCATTTTTTGTCAGTTTGGCTGGGAAGGTCTGGACAGCTGGAAGTGAGCTGCTCCATCATTTTCTGCTTCTTTCTTTGTATCAATTTTCCACCTGTGAAGCCCAACACCCCGCCACCAAGTGCAGCTGCAATGCCTGCTACTTTGAAGCCTGCGAGGAGGCCGATCGGACCCCCCACCACGCCTCCGATGAGTGCACCTGCCACAGGCAGGGCTGCCAGCTTGTATTTTGCAGCCTGTAAAAAAAAAAAAAAAAAAATTCAATTTAGAAATTGAGTTGAGAATATCTTGCCTGGGGTGATGTGCACTTCCCTCTCCTGGCGGCTGGCAATGCCTCTAACTCCTGGCACACAGTTACCCTGAGAGACTGTGCTGAGAGGAGAAGGATTCCACAGGTACTGCAACTGCCCAGCTCTCTGCACTTACAGGGGAGAAAGGAGCTGCGGCCAGTGTACTTTGCTGGCCGGCTTCAAGTCTGCTGTGGCCGCAGGTTCCCCTCTACGCGTGGGTGTTACACAGAGGTAGGTGGTTCCGCGCTTGTCGGACCTGGGGTGACGTTCTGTGGACGAGAGAGGGGCCCTCTCCCCCAGGCGGCCCTGCCCCTGCACACCTTCGCCCATTTCTCCCGGAACTTTTGCAAATAGCCCCTGGCAGCACCGACTGCCTCAGGGTGGGGCCTGTTTATTCTCCTGAAAAAGCCTCCCCCCAACAGAAAGCATCTCCGAGTCGAACAGAACAGCCACCATTGATTTCCTGCACTACCTATGTGTCATTTCTTCCTTATTTCCTTAACTGCTGGTTCCCTTAACATTAAAGCGCGCGCGCGCGGATCAATCGGGCTAATACTGGAGGTTCTTGGGAGCTGGAGCACCATTGATTTATCAGCAGGGGCAGCATCTCACCTTCCCCAAGTTTTTGGTTCCCTCTTCCACGTTCACAGCAGCTCTGTTGACATGGTCTTCAATGCTGTCAATCTTCTCCTGCTGGGACTAGATGCAAAGGAATTATGAGTGGGCCTTCCTGCTGAGGAGCAGCAGTAAGCCAATACACACTACTTTAATTCCTGTAATCAGGGCCCGGGTACTGCAGCCTTCCAGTCTTAATAGTGGTTCATTAATCGCATCTGATAAACTAGCTTGAAAGTACAAATTCAGTTTGATGACAAAGGGGGGGGCACTTACTAATGAGGTAAAAAGGGTGCCACCTCTGTAGCAAAAAAGTATCTCACGTCGGACAGGTGGGTGAAGGGAGATATAAGATATGACAAAATAATAGTAATTTGTAAATTATTAAGGGTTCATGAGGGAGGGGACAGGGAGGGGGAAAATGAGGAGCTGACACCAAGGGCTCAAGCAGAAAGCAAATGCTTTGAAAATGATGATGGCAACAAATGGACAAACGTGCTTGGCACGAAGGATGGATGGATTGTGATAAGCGGTGTATGAGCCTCCAGTAAAATGATGAAAGAAAAAAAAAGCATCTCACGCTAAAATTCACACTCGCTCTCTCTCTCAGCAAATGAATCTAGTTTCTAGGAGAGAGGGGAAATTCCAAATAAGCATTTACACATCATCTTGAGTTTGATGGAAAACGCCAGAACAAAGAAAACTCTAACTGATCTTCATAATTGATTAGCTGAGAACAGGGACGTTTACCTGAGTAATAAAATGCCCTGGATCTACTAGATGCAAATGGTTATGCTCCCAAATCATGACACTTGTAGGACTAAGAATGCAACGTGGTTGGATCCACCGCGGGCTCTTTCCCGGGTGACAGGGAGCAGGGGGCCAATTCACTGTCCCACTTCATGTCTCACATTTTTACACTCCAAGACACTCAGCACCATGACAAGTTCAAATGTTTCCGATCACATGGATTCCGGAAGGCACCGACCTAGAGCGGCAGCCCTGCCCTGACACCAGAGTGCTGCGGGTCTGGCTCTCGGGACAGAGGGTTGTCCGGGCCAGCTTCCTCCCAATGTGCTACCCCCAGGCCAGCACTGGACCAGTGGTCACTGCACCGCTGCTCAGCCATGTCCAGCGACGGGCACTCACCCCCGCCCCCACCCCACAGCAGTAGCTTTGTGCAAATGTGTACACAGTACACAGACAGGCATATGCGCCCATTTTAAAGTGTAAAGTATGGTTAAACAAACAAAAAGAAAAACCGATTGCTCCAAAGTGAACTCCTACCCCCAGCACAGTGATGTTGTGACAAATGTGTAAAGCCACATGTCCACCATCACAGGAGCCCCGGTGACCCCGAGGTTAACGTGCTCGGCTACAGTTCAAACCTACCACTGCTGCTCCACAGAAGATGTGAGGTCTGTTTCCACAGGGGTCATGTCCTGACAATGGTCATGGGGTACGTGCGCGGCAGAGTTCTAGCCTGTCCCATAGGATCGCTGGGAGTGGTAATGGGTTTTGGTTTTTTATTTGGTAGCCACTATCACCTTCACTGCTAAAACAATTTTGGGGTAAGTTTTTCTTAATTCATAGAAAAAGATGAGAATTCTCTTATTCTGTTTCATTCGAATCCTTCCCCTTTTCCTTCTGGAGTAGGGAGCTCCACAGCAGCACCCCGATCACAGTAAGGTGGCAAAGTGGTGGCTGACAGCTGTCAATCTTCAGGGGGACAGCAAACGAGCCCCCCTCAGCGCTGACTACGCTCATGCCATGTCCACTCCCTCACTCTGCTCTTGCTCTCTGTGCCGGGATGAACCGCCCAGGAACAACGCGACCCAGTCCATGAAACCACAGTGCTGACGACAGTGACTGCTTGCTTGGGAGCCTCCGCACCTCGCTCTACCAACTGCCTCTTTTGGCTCCCAATTTGCTTACGTTCCTTTCATCGGCCTGAGCTCCCAGATTTGAGAGGCCCCACATTCTTCTCCTGACACTTTACACGTTGGCATCCCTACATGGTCTCTGTATCCCAGGAACAGTGAGTTGGACTGTCCATGTGGCTACATTGCCTTATTCTCAATGCATTGCGATGAATTATTTATGGCTCTTTTAGCCATAGTTCCTTTTTGTTATTTCTACGAAATGACTTTCCCCTGGTTGGTGTGGGTAAGACGCTGGGGGAAGATACCGATTGCATTCTGATTCAGCTGTGAGGCATTGCCTTCCTGCTGAGTATAAAGTGAGCCCTCTCAGAAGCAGGTGGTGGATCTCACTATCAGCAAGAGAGAAAAGCCAGGAAGTGGACGTGCCCTTCGGACCAGGAGATTCCTACTCAGAAAACCTCCTTGATCCAAGAAACAGCTTTGCTACCAGAGCACCGGCAGAGGAGCAGCAGCAGCGGAACCAGGAGTCAGGGCATTGAACTTCCCAGCCCACAGCAGAGAAAGCAGGAGGCATATCTGACCTGTCCCTTGTGGCAATCAGCCTTGAAAGCCAGGGGAGGTCGGATGTGCTCCCATGCAGTTTCTTTACTCACACTAGAATCTTGTCTAGAACCCCCTTTTAACAGAATACATTCTCAAAAGACCCTAAGAACATGCCTATAGTTTTCATTTTAAGGAACAATAAATTGGTTATCTTATCTGCCTGAAAAAGAGGGCCGAAGCTTCATGAATATTAAAGGAGCCCTTTAGCATCGTGGGTTATGAGTTGGGCTGCTTACCACAAGGTCAGTGGTTCAATCCTACCAGTTGCTGCTTGGGAGAAAGCAACGAGCCTTTTTGCTCCCATAAAGATTTAGACTCACCACTCTACCCGGGCAGTTCCACTTTGTCCTATAAGGCCACTATGAATTAGAATGGATTTGATGGCAGAGTTCATTTTTGTTTGCTTTTTAAAATGTGCAACGAAAGATTCTAAAGAGAGTGTTGTTCATGAAAGTAATACTTGCCAACCAGGGTGCAGTATGAGCAGATGAATTCAAAACGAATACAGTGTTTTCACCCTGAGTGCTTGCTGTGATTACTAACAGGCCCAGCATCCTCTAGACCAGTGGTTCTCAACCTTCCTAATGCTGTGGCCCTTTAATATAGTTCCTCATATTGGGGTGACCCCCCAAACATACCATTATTTTTGTTGCTACTTCATAACGGTAACTTTGCTACTGCTATGAATTGGGCGACTCCTGTGAAAGGGTCGTGACCCACAGATTGAGAACCGCTGCTCTATACCAAGCAATAGTAAAGCATTCAAGAACTACATCCCCAAACCCATTTACAGCACCGTAATAATGCTCTTTCTTGTGTGGGGCTATGTGTGGAGGGGTGGGGAAGTTTCCAGCTATGAGGTTATTGAAGATGATGTCACAACTCCAGAAATTTTCCTTTATTCCTGACTCTAAGTTCTAGCTAGCCCTCCATGCCAAGCTGTAGTCTTAGATCTTGGCCAATCTAGTCCACACTGGTTCTGAACTCCTGTGGTATGTAATCAATATGCCTTATCCATATGTGACCATACACTCAGGAGGGCCCAGAAGCAACCACATGATACAAGGGCAGGAATACAGATGAGGCTGACCTACAGCAGGCACTAAGCAGACCAGGTAAAAGCAGGCTATCAGCATTAGGATTCAGCAGGAATAAAGGGCTGAGGGAGTTTAGTCCTGAAGTGACTAACGGTAATGGTGGTGGCTTCAGTGGAATTCTAAATCCAGAACCAAATTGGAAATCAGATAAGGGAGGCACCGAAGGAGGAGTACGGTTGGGGCCAGAAAGGAAGGGGATTTGAAATCACAGACACAGTCTCATACAGCCTTTCCATCCATTTTAAGAAGCTCAACGTTGTCAAAGAACATCCTGAGGTCACACAGATCAAATGGAGAAATCTCATTCCTTTACAACCCAATTGATGGATCCAGAGTAAAAATGGATGACAAAAGGAAATAAGGCATAAGGTAGATCACAAAACCAGACCACAGCCAGAGTGACATATTGTTGAATTGCTGGTCTGGCGTTTTAAAAAGTCTCCCTGATAAGAAATAGAGTTGGAAGGGGGATGGCACCTGAGCAATAAAGGCGAAAGGCAAACAGTGGTGCACAGACGGCATTCATTTAGCACCCATCAGACCACATTTCGATGGCTTAAGAAACTTACAGGATTTTATGCTGTTTTCTCATCTTCGCCGAGCTTAGCACAGTGCTACCTACTGTTGGACATGATCCATGAGATCCATCGCTCAGTTTCAAGAGATGAGCATGTCCACGTGGCGCGGAGGAAGAGGATGTGGTCACTCTGGTTATGTTCCCAAGACGTTCTCTGCCCAAATGGAGCATCTGCGGCTCTTTGGACTGTGGTCATGAGAACTCAGTCCCTCAGAAGAATCATTGAGGGTTTTCGCATTTGAGCTTTTGCCTAAGAGAACTCTGTCTCATGTCCTTCTCAGATGATTATCAATAGGACATCTGTACAGTGCTGCGGCTATCATCGGCATGTTCCTGCACAGACCTGCCTTCGGTTAGAGCTAAGAGCTGCGTAGGTAGCCCAACTGAATATAAGAGTATCATTGTTCAACGGTCTCAGGTTCTTAATTTCCCTTTAATATGTGTCCCCAAATTGGGGGAAAAGTGTATTTGTCTTAGATTTATGGAAAGACCTCTATATGTGTTTAGTTTGGTTTCTAAATTAACTTTATAATTTACAAATGGGTACATTAAAACATACATTTTAAGTATACAGATAGATTACTTTTGATAAATATGTTTGTGTAGCCATACATTAACCATACATGTATGGATTTTATCAATTATATTAAAGATCATTAGTTTCAATAACTGAATAAATCAATTTTAAAAACACAAATGCGTTAGGATCCTTGTATGGATTGCCTTCTGTATGCACATATAATGGCATGTAGAAAAGCTGGAATCTGGGGCGGACAGACAGCTAGCCAAGAAGGAAAACGCCAATATTTCCCACTAACCACCGAAGGGAAGAATGTGGTGAGATTGCACGGTCAGAGGCTGCAAACTCGCAGGACACGGAAAAACAAGGCCGGCCCCCGAGGTCTGGCTCTCGGGCTCCACTGGGAATGAACAGGGCGGGCCCATCTCCACAGCCCATGCTTCCTTCTACTCCTGGCTCTGAGGCTCAGAAAAGGAAATGCCCCCAACAACAGTGCACTCAGACTTAGGACGTCATTTGAAGGGGATCGACAGACTAGCGTGTGGGCAGAGTCTTGGGTCTGGGAGGCTCCTGAGAGAGAAGACGCCCAGCGGTGAGGGCCTGTGAAGAAGGGTGACGCTGGCTCAACACCGTGAAAAGGACAGAACCTGCTCAAGCGCTGGCTCGGACGACAAAAGGGCCCGAGGGACGTTTTCGAGAAGTGTTGACTACACCTAGGTAAGAGTCTCGAAGAATTAGAAGCTTCACGTGAAATGGGAAGTAGCCCTGCACCGTCATAGTTCACCAAGAGGCTAGAGAGCCATCTATTTGGGAAGTTGGGGTCAGAGGGGAGAGATTACCTAATCTCTCACGGGCTTGACAAATCCTACTCTCAGGGACCTTCTTATCATTTAAAGTCAGTGTTCAAGGAAATGAGAGCGCAGAGATGAACAACCCTAAAAACAAAACCAGAAGCCTGGACAAAAGTCTAGGCTCTCTCGCATACATGCATACATACATACATATACATACATACATACATACATACATACATACATGTTACCGTCCCAGAATTTCCAGGAAGGGAAAATGCATCGAGGGGAAAAACCCCCTCTACATTGTGGTCTCTAAGCCTGCTAACAGTATCACTGGTTAGCTCAGTATGCAGAAAAAAAGCCTTCTTTCTGACTCTTCCACCTTCCCCAGGTGACCCATTTCAACTCAGTCTTCCCCACAGTGCCCACAACTGTTCTACACCTTCCCACTTGCACCATCATTGCTCTACATTAAACTCCTGAATTTCATTCTTAACTCGTTTGTCCTTCTGTCTGTAGCCCTCCACTCCCGCAGTCAGAATCCATCGGCTAACAGGGATGGCTCCGACGAGATGCTGGGCACGCCCTGGACTGCTAAACGCGAGGGCGGTATATCAGACCCACCAGCCACTCTGTGGGGGAAAGATAAGACCATCTGCTCCCAGAACGATTTACAACCTTAGGAACCCTCGAAGGCACTGGTTCTCAGCCTTCCTGATGCAGTGGCCCTTTCATACAGTTCCTCGTGTTGTGGGAACCCCCCCAACTATAACGTTATTTTTGTTGCTACTTCATCACTGTCATTTTGCTACTGTTATGAATCAGGCGACTCCTGTGAAAGGGTCGTTCAACCCCCCCCAAAGGGGTCTCGACCCACAAGTTGAGAACCACTGCACTAGAGGGTCGCTATGGGTCAGAATCCGCTCCATGGAGGGTGAGCTGCTCAAAAATCTACGTTGGTTCCCTGATACTTACAAAACACACCAACTTCTTTACCATGGCTTTCAGGGGCAGCCCAGGCTGCCCCCCTCTTTGCTCGCCCACGGCCCTCAGGCCCCGCTTACACTGGAGTGCTAGCATGCCTGAACAGGCCGTATGCTTCTCTGCTCCCTGTCTTGGTACATTGCTCTAAAATGTACCCCTCACCACCCACACCACCTACAGCCACTGTACTCACTGTGGAGGCTCACACTGTGCTAACTACCCATGTGACTCCAATAGTTCACCTGACAACCCCTGGTTCCTGCCCTGGTATGTCAGGGCTTCCTGGGAGTTCATAGTCCTTCCCTTTGCAGTTTAGGGTTTGCATCTAACAATCATGCTTGTAATGACCGTTGTTGAGGTCCAAGCCTGTGTCCCCCCAAGCTTCCTGGAAGGCAGAGAGTAGGCTTCATTCCTATCCCCTCCCACTTCATCAGCCCCTCAAAGCCACACATCTCACACAGGGCCCCGAATCACCCCACAGACGCTCAGCATGCTTATTGGATTGATCTAGAATGCATTTGTGGCTCAACGGTAGTCTTTGAAAATAACTTTTAGTTCAAACCCAAATAAGAGCCCAGTGATGAATAAAAATACTCTCTTCCTACGTCTCCCAACTCCTCGCCCCCATACTCACATTCACCAGTAGGGAGAATCCAGTGACCAGTTGGCTCAGTTGAACCAAGTCCTTGAAGAGAGAGAGAAAGGGAATTACTGACGTTGATGCCTCGCAGCCACCAAGAGGAGTCATTTGTAACATACCGCTTCCAAGGTTTCCCACGACTCAGCGGCATTTTGATCTCGAGGAATTTCAGGCAGTGCGCACGTCTGAGTCAGACTCTGAGGGGGAGCCTCTGCGGCAGCCTCCGCGCTGTGGAGTGTTCCTGGAGGCACACAGCCGTGTGGGGAGTGGATTTGCTTTGTTAGACAGCAGAGAGCACAAATTGACTCCATGAAACAATGTCCATGCAAAAGGCTTATTAACAGAATGCAGGCTGCAAGTGAATTGATTATTCTGTAAAAACAGAACTACGCTTGTTGCCCAGGTATGCCACAGATATTTTTAAAACTACTGTACGAAGTCATCTTAAAAGATGGCCACGAATGCTACCGAATCTGAATAGTCAGGGTTGCGTGTAGAAGCAGCAGCAGAGGGAGAAATATCCAATTTTAGCTAATGTTCCAGGAGGAGACATCCAATAAACATAGGTTTAACACTTTTCATTGATAAAACCTTAATCTGTAGATTCTTGTAGATCCTTGGATCTACATGTGACCTCCTCCCTGGGGGACGGACAACCGAAAAGTGGGTGAAGGGAGATATCGGACAGGGCAAGATATGACAAAATAATAATTTATAAATTATCAGGGGTTCATGAGGGAAGGGGCAGTGGGGAGGGAGGGGAAAAATGAGGAGCTGATGCCAGGGACTTAAGTGGAGAGCAAATGTTTTTAGAATGATGAGGGAAAGGAATGTACAAATGTGCTTTACACAATTGATGTATGTATGGATTGTGATAAGAGTTGTATGAGCCACTAATAAAATGATAAAAAACCAAAACAAACAAAACCCCCCACATATAGTGACTTAAAGAAAAAGAAACTTAATCTGTTCTCTATTAGATTCACAAGATGTTGAAAGTGGGGAGGTGATGTCTTTTGATCAATACAATTCAGTCATACTAGTGACCCCCCAAAAAAGTGTCCCCAAATGAACTTATGCATCATCTTGTTCATATTGTCACCCTTCTTGTTCTTAGATCCATTCTTCTGGCCCATGTCTCCATTGCTTCTTCTTCTTCTTTTCTGAATTTAAAACATCAACAAGCAACTAGGATGATTTCTTCAATACACACGATGACGACGACCTTATATGCCAAATTCCACTTTCAAGCCTTCCTCGTTTCTTTGTCGTGGCTTTCCTAGTCTTTCATTCATTCAACTGATAGTGGATGTACATAAATGAGCCAACCAGATGCCGAGGATCTAATGGTAACCCATAAAACCAGTTCAATGAGGCACCAGAGCATAGAGTTTGTCAGAAAGACTTGGATTAGAACTGCGGCTTGGCTATTTACTGCTCTCTGATTTGGGTACTTAATATCTTTCACCTAATTTTTTCTCATTTAAAGGGCACACTAATATTTACTGCATCGAGTTTTTGAGAGGTTACAGTGAAATAATGCATGGAAAGCACTTTGTATAGTACCTGGCAGACATATTCAGCACAAGTACTCAACAGTTAACTATAGCTGCTTCTATTATAAATAGGCACCTCACTGCAAAATGTGCGATAGAGACATGTTTAAAGTTCCGTAGAGTCTGATGAGAATTATAACATGGGTAGTATGGGGTGCTATTTGAGTACAGAAGAGAGAGATTGGACCTAGGTTTGTGGAGGCAGAGCAGCCCGGTAAGCACGTGAAGCCGAAGCCTGAGGCTGAGCAGAAATGAGGCAGAGGAGCTAGGGCGGGCGTGGGGAGCAGCACAGTATGCAGGCCGCACCGTGTCGCGGGCCTGGGAACGCAGAGAAGTTCCGCAGAGCTGAAGCACGGACCAGGACACGGAAACACCCGCAGGCTGAGGCTGGCAATCTACCCTGAGATGAATCGTGCTGTTGGAACCGAAGTGTTTCCATAGATACACATGGAACTGGTAAAAGTTGCTGAAGACGACGGGGAAGACTATCGTTTGGTGAGGAACAAAGACATACTCTGGGTGCTACGAGCAGATCTTCGATTCAGGAAAGCAACCCGCTGCGCTATGAAGATGGGCAAGGACGGAGGGAGCTGAAGGGGAGACCCTTCGAGAGGGAGAAGGCAGTTGGGAGGCTTGGCCACATCTCCGGATGGGAACAAGAGCCTGAAAGATCCCCTTTCCTTCCAGCTCAACACTCCAATCACAGTAACAATTTTGACGCACTCACTAGGCGTGGTGTGAGGTACCAGGGCTGGACAAACAGTATTTGTCCTTGAGACACAGAGATGCTAGCAGGGTGATCTCTATCCAAAGACAACGCCAGGAGGGCACACTGATAGCTAGAGAGACCAGTTATAATATTTGTGTGGCTGTTACAAGGTGGGGGTGGCACCTGGCCGTGTGTGGTGTGATGGTGCAGGATAGGGGAAGACTCGGCACAAGGAGCGCTCTAAGCAGGCAGTGAAGAGAGAGCTATGCTCTAAGCGGAGAGACCGACATGAGCCCAGGACCTCAGGGCAGGTGAACGTGGAAACCAGTTAAAGCAGGTGGTGCTGCCACAGCGTACAGGAAAGACAAGAGTTATCAAAGTCAGACAGGACCGTTGGCCCCGGGGGCCGTAAGCCAGTTAAAAGCCCGTGGACTCTACCTGGCGGACAGTGGGGAGCTGCTGAGAAAGCACCTACATGATGACCTGTGACATTCCTCTCCTCCTAAAAGTCCGTCCGTCCGTATCATCCCGAGCTCTCTTCTCCCGACTCTGTTTTCGTCCAGCCTGCAGGTGAGCGGTCTTCTGTAAAACTGCCTAACTGTCTTACCTCCATAGTTTATGGAAGTGCTTTGGAAGGGCAAGAGAGTCCATTGTTAACCGAGAAGAATTTGTTGCCTTATCAAAACTGACAGTGTTCTTTAGATTTTACTTCTTAATTTATCAGAATAGATTTCATTTTCTTAGAGGGGCAGCAAAATCACCAGCTCTAACGTAAGTCCCAGGGGCAACATGACGGCAAGCATTCCATAGTTCCGAAGCTCTGAATGCTCGTCAGTGGACTGCCACGTGCTCTCAGCCGTCACAGACAGACACCCCGTTTTCCCTTCCACCGGGGAAGTCAATGACTCGGACCTTTCCGGCGTCTGTGGCAATGTGTGTGCCACCATCACGTGAGGACTTCACCGCCGTCACTGACCAAGTGCAAGGCAGAGCTCTATGACCACCGTGTCTCCGCTAAGCCCTGGGCGGTTCGAAGAGGGCGGATCAGCACGAAGCAGGCCGAGTTACACAGCAACACGGAGCGAGCTGACCGTGTGTATGCACGTTCTTCCTTTAGAAACAACGGGATGGGAAATGCTTGACATTTTAACCAACATGAAAGATTGCCGTCAGTCAAAAATCAGAGACGCTTGTCATTTACGTCTCACTGGAAACCACATGCGTGTGCATTCTCGTCCAGAGGCTGAGAACAAAGAAGTCTGTTCTCGTCCATGGACAAGCTGGTGCGAGCTCCCACTCCAGTCAACGCCAGGCGTGACCGGTCATTACAACAGGGGCCCTTCCGCGCCTACGGCTCCCTAAGACGACACCTGCTTGCTGGAAACCAGCCCTCCGCGGCTGCCCTTTCACTGCACCCAGACGCACTTCGCTTTGGTGGAGGGACTCCTGAGACCGATGACAGCTGCAGGAGCGCAGGCTGGGGACGCTGAGCTGGTCCCTAGAAGCTACACTTGCCACTGTCCTGCCTAACTTGCCGACTTCAGAGCCCCAGCCCCAGGCAAGTGCCACTTTTCAAATTCCAGACTTTCTCTTAAGACCTCACTGGTGGCTACAAATTCCAGAGACCATGAGGATATCTTTAGTTCAAATGAGGAATAAGTTTAGTAACGTGGGCAGCAGGCTTTCCCCCTCTCTTTTCTGTAGAGCCAAATAGCCTCTTTCTTTCTCCGTACTTCAAGAGGAGAAATGATTCTACCAAGAATTACATGTAAGCCATTTCCGGTAACTTTATTACACCAGGAAAAGTTTCATTGTAAATCTAAGCTAACGTAGGAGACTTCCTTGAATTTTTCATGTTCTGATAGCTTTTCAAAAAATACTGAAACTCATTTACTGATCATCTACATACGTCTATCAAAATAAAATGCCTTCTAAGCCCTGGTGTAACTAGCTGAAAAGGAAGCGTTCAGAGAAAACGAAGACCAACAGGGAATATGTCTTCTGAATAAGAGAGTACAGAAACCATCTACATGTTTCAGAAAACCGTTCTGTACGCATCTATACCTGTGATAAAATCTAATATTGCATCAAATTCAATATGCTGGCCCCAAGTTCCCAGCAGTTTTAAGACTGGATTCTTTTCTTTTGTGAATATTTGTTTAAAATGTAATAAGATTCTGTTCCGATTGCGCTGGCGCAGAGTGCGCACCGGGTGGGGCGTGGAGAAAGACAAAGACGGAGAAAGGTACGGCTGCACCTCTCTAAATACAAATCTCCTAAGGGCTCGTCCCTCCTCGCGCTGGGAAGCGATGGGCGAGAATTGAAACCAGAACCCCCAAGGCTGCAGGGAGCTTCTCAGATGAAGCCAGACTGGCCGAGAAGATTCGCTCTAGCAATTCTCAGATTCGGGACAAAAGACACGGCATCACTGTTGCCTTCTCAACTTAATAAGCTGTTTGCGTTCTCCAGGAACGCAAGCCCTCCTCTTCTCCTCGTCATTGCTATGTGCAAATGAAAAACTCCTTGTGTGAGTTTGGTCTTACTCTGGGAATCATGACCGCAGAGCTCCTGAATCTTCTGTGATGTTCCCAACCAATTTCCGCAGCATTGGATGGACTTTTGAAGAGAAAGTCTTGTAAGGCCCGGGACAGGCCGGCACTGCTACAGTGAGCCTCTGAAGCAAGAATGGGGAAAAGCCAGAGAGCAACGAGGAGCTGGCAGGTCGAAGACTAACCACACTGGGGTCCACATCGACCCCACTACCAAAGCATTATAGACTTGAGTCATTTCTGTTTATGACGCGCCTCAATTCTTTGTTAATAATATTTCTGGGTTTCACGCAGCCTCGTAGAAATTCTGCCACTCCAGCACCTGGTGAGGCAGTTCACGGAGCGGCTCCCTGTTGGCAGTGGACGCAGAGGCAACGCACAATCTGAGCAGCAGACCATGCAGCACCTGAAACTCCCTCCGCACACTGTCGACGGGATAGGATGATCCCAATCAATTAGGACTCGTGTCGAAGGTCGAATTTTGGTTTTCTCCAGTGACACGGGACCAGGTCTTTCGCTCAGTGTTCTACAAATGGAAGAGATCGGCCGGGCAGCTCGAGCTGCAAGGTGACTTCCATCTCTTCTCCTTCGGGCTCTGGCTCAGCGCCGGTCCTTTCCGTTTTCTCTCGACACATTGCTTCCTCAAATTCTGCCCTGGTTTTTGGTGTTTTTTTTAAATGCCAGTCAGCTTCCTACAGGGAAGTTAATTGCTGGCAAACTGGCTAAACTGTTTTTTAAAAATAATTGCCCAATTTCTCTGATGATATATAAACCCAAGATTGTTGAGCCCAAACAGTTCTACTGGTGGAAATATAAACAATGTAATAATAAGATGCAAATTGAAGCATCTTATTATTCCATTACTATCATATCATGAAGAATCTCTCGGATAGACTTCCACATTTGTGTTTGCTAGGGAATTGTGGGTGATGGAGAATTCAAAGCTCAGTAGCAACGGAGATTGAGGCCAGTCTCTCTTTCCAGAAATTCACCTTATGGTCACCGTTACTGCCGCTCTCACCACTGTTACAGTGTCTGGGTGGGAGAGAGGTCCCTTCGTCACAGGAACTGAAAGCCAGTTTCTTTGCACGTGCATATCAAGGGCAGTTTCCCTCAAGGGTCAGAACAGCGAGTCGTGTCATCAGTAAGTGAGGACTCACCACAGATGAACAGAATAATGAAAACCCTCACTACAAACCAAAACAGCGTCTCCCCATCTCATAGCCACGTGTTAAGTGCTCTTATCTCCTCCCCCAAATGTGTTAGCTCCCAGTGATCCACACAGGGGAGGGACTGCAGCACATCTCACAGCACGAAATTGCCCCTCAACAATGATTGCCTTATGTCTAGGAGACATTTATTGACGGTCTGCTCGGACACAGGGGCTGCGGCAATGGCCTCACCAGGGTGGCAATCAGGAGCCCAGGGCAGGCACTTCTTCAGTCTGTTATGCCCAGAGTCGCTGAGAGTCAGAGCAACAACAACATGCACCTGGAGACCAAGGATGCAGGAATGCAGGCTGAGTTAGCAGCTCTGCACCATGGCCTGCATGCTTCTGAGGCTACCTTTTTGACGTCACTGTTGAGTGCTGGGCAACTAGCCCTGGAAACACACAATAAGAATGATCTGCCTTTGGAGGCAGAAGGCGGCACAGGGCTTCTTGGGCAAGCGGACACAGGAAACTCGGCAGGTGTGGTGTCCCTCAGACTCGGTTCTAATTGGTACTTTATTTATACTCTGGGATTTAAGACAATTTAGAAGGCTGCATAAAATGTATTAGTTAAAAACGAAAGAGAAACACTAACAGAAAAAGGGGAAATGAGAATATCAATTACAACATAAGGTCAGAATAGTTTTAAAAAAATGGCTTGTAGTGGGTTAAAAAAAATGTTGGCTTTAAGCATTGTAGTAGACAATGCAATTAGGAAAGCCTGATAAGTTGTGCCATTCAATACTCCTGAGACAAACAGAGCCACAGCTCAGAAATGCCACAGTGGTTTTCCTTAGAAAGATGCTACTACACACAGTATACCCACAGTATCTCTTATACTTTTAGGAGAACACAATGGCAAGTTTCACAGGACACTGACAGCAGGACCCTGAATGCAGCCTGTTGATGTCAGTTACTAGGATCCCAGTATCTACCAGCCGCTGAGCAACCAGAACGCCTGGGAAAGAAGCATGCCCCTAGACACAGAACAGTTGAGTAAGGAGTTGTCTTCAGACAAGAATGAAATCCTCCTTAAGAAATCATGTTACATTTCTTTGTATTGCAAACGCAAATAGGTACTTGAGGTCCTGAAGTTCCACTTTATGCAGTATAGTCATCTATTCTGCAAATTTTCTAAGAGGGAATTTCTAGACACATGTAGTACAAGTCCACAGATTCAGCCAATTGGAATTGCAATAGCACCTGATCCCTAGAGTCCAACAGATAATCTGTGCTCTCTCTACCCAGAGGACGAGCTACAATTGATTGTAGTACTCCAGTGTTTCTGTCCCAAAGGCCAGTCCACTTCACAGGGCCTGTGGTCTTAAAAGCTTGCAGGCAGTCCTCCAAGGTCCAATTGTTCTCTAGTTGCCTGGATCCACAGAGGAAGGAGGAGAATCAGGATTATGAGGAAGAAGTGGAATGGATGGCTAACTGCCTCCTTTGCCATGAGACCAGAAGAACTGGGTGGCGCCCAGCTATATTACAGAATGTTTTGACCAAGGATCCTACCTAAGAATCCTGACCCGAAGGGAGAAAACACAGAACAAAACTTCAATTTTCCATGGAGCCAGACTTTCTGGAGCCACAGAGCCTGGCTCTATACACCCCTGAAATGATTCCCTGAGATCATCTTCAAATCGTAAATCAAAATGATCCACTGAAAACTACTTAAAACCAAGCAGTGGTTTAGCTTAACTCGTAAAGAATGTCTGCCTTGAGCACTGTGCCTTTTAAGGACAATCTCTATGGGATCCAATCAGTAGCACCAACTGGAAAGATTAGCACCTTGAAGCACAGAGAATTTAGGCGCAGGGGAACAATTTAGGAAAGGGGGTGAGAATGATTACATAACTTAAGCAATGTGATCAGTGTTATTGAAGACAAACATGCAGGCATTGTGAATTGGTCTAGATTCTGTTGTGTATCCTCCCAAAAGCCATGACAAAAATCAAGTGAAAGAAATCAAGTAGGAGTCAGACTTGGTATAATACATACCTCCCACAGTCATGGATCTGGTCAAAGAAGGCTGCAACAAAGCGTCTTCACTGTTGAATTGCTTCTTAAGGTTTTCGACAGATTCCAAATGGAGCTGGAGAAATTCCACGATGGCTGCCGATGCTTCTTCTTTGACGGGATTGATCAATCTCTTCAGAAGTATTAGGTCGTCCTTTCGGACTTTCAAACAAAGTGTCTCCATTTCTCGGATATTGGAGCGGAGTTGCTTAAAAAAAAAAAAGTTTAATGCCCTCATCTCTCAGTATACAGGTCTTTCTTTTCAGAGGCAATTTGTGATACTGATTGTAAAGGGAAATGTTTACAAATGTTTGCTACAATAAAAGGTGCCGTAAAATGCTTTTCTATTTTCATGTTTGTTGCCAAACCTCACTTTCTTTAGAACTCACACCCTTATACCTTGAATACAGTTTCCCTCAGGAAATGCAATTATTATGAGGGTAACAAACACTCTCTATAATAAATGAAGTATTACGGAAAATAGGAAGGAAAATGTCAACAGGTCCCCACTTTAAAATCCCATCTTCTCTCTTCACCCGATTCTTCACACACTGCTCACTGCTTTAACACAGGCTGACTTCCCTGCTTTCCACAAAACAGGAGACTGTTATGTACAGCAATCTACACTGTGTCACGTATCCCAATTAATTTAGCAAGAGCATCACGGGCTCCCTCCGAGTCAAAACACCCACCACCAAACCTGCTGCCACTGAGGCAGCTCCGACTCACAGCCAGGCTATAAATCTTTATAGGACCTGCGAAGCGATCAGAGGGTTTGAACTGCCAACCTGTGGTTAGCAAGCCAGCGCTGACCGGACAGTGCCACTAGGCTCCTTCTCCTAGTCAATAGTTGCATTCCATAGTATTGCATTCAACAATAGTCCATAGTATGGATGGAGCATCATTCATTCAATCACTCTTCCAGGGAGCAACAATCATTCATGTTATTTCCAGTTCTTAATGATTACAAATTATGAAATAAACACCCTTACATTTTATATATATATATATATATATATATTCAGCAGGAATGCCGAGACCCGGATGTGGGAAGGAGTACACAGTCCAAGGATATATGCGTTTTTAAATTTCAGTAGCTAGTATCAGATCTTTCCTCCCTCCCCCGCAGGGAATGGGAGGAGGAGAGCCTTGGCCCGGAGTGGAATCTCCTTGTCACTTTACTCAGCACGCCCCTTATGCATGAAGCTGCTGGGTTTTTATCAAATGCTTTTCCTTTCTTTCTTTCTTTTTTTTTTTTTAAAAAAAACCCAAAACCAAAACCTATTGGCATAACAATCATTTTCCTTTAATTTGTTGACATAATGAATTATGTGCAGGTTTCATTGTATTGAGACAGTTGTATATGCCTGGGATAACTCTTCCTGATCAACATATAATTAAAAAAAAAAACTCCACTGCTGGATTTGATTTTTGCTAGGTTTTTATTTATAATTTTAACATGTGCATGTGTGTGAGCCAATACAACTTTGCTAGGTCTAACTTCACTCTATCAGGCTTCATAACGTGAACTGGAGAGCTCCCATTTTTGTTGATAGTCCATAATTTGAAAAACCAACTATTCTTTGAAGATTAAATAGAACAAACTTGCAAAAATGATCTGGGCATGGTGGTACTTCCCACCCCCCTCTAATTACAGATCTCTATTCATATAATATTGTTAAGCACTTTCCCCTGAAATGCTTTTGTAGATATGAATGCAAAATCCCAGAGAAGTGAGTTTGAGCCCAGGGTTCACAACTGCTGTGGAAGCATTTGCAGAGCATGTGTGTTTGACGGCCTCACAGTGCTAAGGGTGAACACGGTGTGCTGGGGCTGGGATCCTAAAAACCTTGAGTAGTGCGCCCATGAAACAGACCTGCCCGGGCACACTTCCTGTCTTGCTGGTGGCCCTGAAATTGTCATGAAATAGTGTAATGATGAACCAGGAAACTCAGTGTCCTACGGGGCTTCGATGCTGCAAGTGCAAACCATCTCTGAAAGGAGAAAACCTCATCTCTGGCGTCAAATGAGTTGTATAAACAGTTTTCAAACAGACTGCCCAGCACTTAACCAAGGCTAATCAAGCACACGAGGACAGGGCCAACCTGGAGCAGGAACAGCAAACACAACAGGTGGCAGAGACAGGTCCAAAGGGACACCTGACGGGGAGTCCTGAGCACATCCGATAAAACACGCGGGGCCGGGGCAGTTCAGAGTAGTCACCAAGCCCGGGGCCTAATGACATTCCAGGGCAATGATCTTAATCAAGTTCAGGGGGAAGAAAGTTGCATGATGGCCCAACCGAAGTGCCATGATGAGAGGAGTTAAATTTTTTTAAAGATGCGTACTTTCTAAAAAGTGAGATTCTGACAACCGAAGAACAAGTTGGTTTGGTAAGAAAGAAGGGGACAAGTAAGAACCCAATATGGTTGTGTAAGGTGTGTCATGATAAGCGCACAATTTTAAGCAACTTAAAAAAAAAGAAAAGAAAAAAGGCATGTGACACTGGATGATACAGAAGAGTGTGGTGACACAAAGGGAAGCATGTAAAAAAGCAAGAGCCCAGAATGCGCGGAGGCTGGTGAAATGTTAAGAACAATAAAAAAGGTTTCAAAACAAAATTCATGTCGAGTACAAAGAACAAGCAAGAAGGCTTGGGCCGACTGCTTGGGGCAGATGGTATAATGTTAACAGACGATGCCGAGCAAGCAGAACTGCTTAACTCCTCTCTTGATTCTGTAAAGTTATTAAGGAGAACTATTAAACATAGAAAGAGACAAAAGAAACGTGCCCACAGTGAATTTGAAATGCAGCTCACTTTAAGGCCCTAGCTGTACAGCGTCATGCAGGAGGTACGAGTTGGCCTGTCCTGGAAGGGAAGGCCAGGAAACAGACGTTCTGCACAGAAGCAAAGACTGGGAACAGTCAAGCGAGGAAACGTACCAGCCTTCTAGAGACACGTCACCCATTGCTGAACATCGTTTGTTTTCCACGTTTTCACATCTGTGAGATGTGCATGCATCTTCAACCAGGTGTGATAAAAAAGTGTTGTGTCGTAGTTAATTAGCAGCACTTTTTCTGCCTTGAGGGAGCACACAGTAATGGCGTGTGTTAAAATGGACAGTGTCTTAGCTCTGTAGATTTAATTGCTTAATTACCCTGACTTTGTCTAATACTCAGGCCATTCTGCACTAAGGATTAAAGATCCTCCAGGGCACAGGAAAGGATTCTAAGTCCGAATAATCTGCCCATGAATATTTCAAACACAAAACGTAGGTTACATTGTCCCCGAAGCACACAATAACAGACCATACGCAGCCTGGGGTCTCATCACGTTGGAATCTCCTCCCCCAGCTTTACTTCCCTTCTCTGCTTGGCCTTGAATCTCCTCCCAGCCATTTCTTTTTTCCCCCTAACTTGCGTTTACTATCTTTGCTTCCCTACGATCCTCATTTCTATTGCTTTTCCTGTTTAAATTCTTAAAGATAAATAAAAGCAGAGAGCCCATTGTTCTTTGTTTCTCCACATAAACTCCTAGAAGACATTTGACTTCCATATGTTCCATGAAAAGAACAAAAACTAAGCTCACTGAGTTGATTGCCTCACGGCAAGCAGCCCGAAAGGAGAGAGAACTGCCCCTCTGGGTTTCCGAGTCTTTAAAACCATTACGGGAGGGCAGGCAGCCTCGTCGTTCTCCTCGGGGGCCACCAGTGGGTTTGAACCGCCGAGCTCAATGAAGTTCACAGCTCAATGTGTAGCCCACGCCACCAGGGGTCTGACAGCAGAGACCTCCAAAGGAATCAGAATATCTACAGTGAGATTCAGAAGTGTGTGTTCCCAACAATCTCCGCAAGCCAGAGAGGAGGCTGGGTGGTACAGGGTCCTTTAAACTCACTTAATGTCCTCAAGTAGATGGTTATAAAAGAAACATTCCTAAGTCTTTCGATTAGTTTCAGAATTTCACAAAACTCTGCCAAAGATCCTTTAAAAAAATCATAAAATCCTTCTTAAGGCTAATGTTTTCATATCCCAAAGAAAAAAAGTTAAGTCTGTATCTGTATTGCAGTTTCTAAAAATAATAGCCAATGTCATGAAACCATTTGAATAGAAATTCACATTTCTATCGGAATGGGAACCGAATATACTGTTTAAGCTTTCGCCAAAACACAATGCAATATTATTTTTTTAATGATAATAATAAAAAAACCCAAAATACTCGATGCACTTCCACGTTAGTCCAAGGCAAGCAGCATGTTCAGAGCAGAGTCGGGGAGCAGCAGGGCGGAGCGCTGCTCGGTGAGGGAGCCCTCCAGTGGGCGTGCAGAGAGCTGACCAGAGCATTTGTGTCAGCAATTATCCAAGCTGGGGAAGAGCCGTCAGAAAAGATCCGAGGACCCGTTCCAGCCCGCCTGCAGAGCTAGGAACAGCGCCTGCTCCCAGAAGTTAAACCAGAAAAATTATTAATTCATGTGACACAGGGTACAGCGCTCAGAAAAGCTTTGCCTCAATAGTGAGGAATAATTAGACTCAGACAGAGCACGGCTCCAGTCACACCAATAAAGCATAAAAGTAAGGCTCAAGAGTATGAAACTATTTGCAAGTAATTTCGTGACATTCTAGAATGAGTCTCAAGAAGAATTGAACTCACTGCCATCAAGTCAGTTCCGACTCACAGTGCCCCCTGTGGGAGAGAGTAGAACTGCCCCTGTGAGTTTCAAGATCCTAAATCTCTATAGGAGTAGAAAGCCTCCACTTTCTCTTTCAGAGAGGTTGATTTTGAACGGGTAACCCTCTAGTCAATAACCCACTATGCCACCAGAGCTCCTTACGGAGTTTATAGGAACATAAACTACCCACCAGCCAACAAGGCAAAGGTCACCCACGCACAAAGACGGCCACGCATGCAAAGAAACAGGAAAACATGCTTCATAACAGGGAGAATAATCGGTTAGAATGAACATAGATATTACAATTAGCAGAGATAAATACTTCTTCTTTCAAAAAGTAGATACATGCTCAAATGATGGCACTGAATCTGCAGCTTCGGGAGAAGGATATATCTGACCAGAGCACACAGGAACAGATGACGGGGGAGCAGTAGAGACTGGAGCACATCCTGACCCACTAGGCCAAACAGAGCAGCCAGTCCACAGAGAGGACCACATGGCCAACCCCACTATGAGAC